TTTTTGTTCATAGAAAACCACAGCAGATCTATCCAGACGTAAAAGAGCCCTATCTGAGCATGATGCTTTGCAGCTATCCTCCTTCAACCTATAGACTTTCATGGAAGGTAATCAAGTGGCTACCTCAGTCAAACTCATCATTATCTGCCACATCAATAAGACATGATTCACTTATTCTTTCAATTATTCATTCAATAATTATTATTGAAAATCTGGCTGTTTTAAGATTGTGAATAGAGTGAATAAACCAAATCCCTACTCCCATGGAGCTTATATTCTCAAAGTCCCTTTATTGTCCAACAACAAGAAAAACAAAAGATATACATAGTATAATTCACGTGGTCATACGTGCCACAAAGAAAAACGAAGTTTGGTATGTAGATGAAGACTTACGTGTATGTGTGTGTATGTCTCCGTTTTGAAGGAAGGCATGTACAACTGTAGATAGGAGAATCTGAGAAAGACTGATTAAATGGCATTTGAGGAGAGACTTGAAAGGAAGCCGGGGGTGATCTGCACAAGTATCTTGAGGCAGCAGAGCATTTCCAACACTGAGAATGAGAAGTACAAAGGCCCTGCCATCATATCCCCTTGACATGTTGAAGAAACGAGGAGACCAGTGTAGCTGGAATGGACCAAGGGAGGGGAAAGTGGGAGGAGCTTAGAGGTGAAAAGGAGTAAGATCATGTAGGCCTTGAAAGCCATGCTAAGGACTTTAGATTCACCTGATTAGTTATGTGTACTCAAAGCAAGATATTGAGTCACCTAACATGCCACAAAATTCAGCATTTCTTCTAATAGCACTTTTTAATGAAAAAATTTTCCTTATATTTCTAACAGCCAACTAATGCATCTTTTCTATTTCCTTGCAAAGCTTTTCTTTTTTTTTCTTTTTTTTTTTTTCCTTTTTCTGAACAGGGTAAAAAAAAAAAAAAAATCAATTAATTGGTATGATGGCAATCCAAGAATGTGGTTTCCCAAGAGGCCAATAAATGGCACAGTTGCTAAACTGTGGTTAAAAAAACAAGTTGTTCCTCTCAGTGCTTCCTGAAAGAAACTCAGGACCCTGCAATGGTGCACTGGAGAATTGGGGGTAAAGAAAAGCAGCTGAGAGCTAATACCCACAAGAAAAATTCTGAAATTGACACGTCTCTGGAGTGAAGCCAAACACTCATAAAGCTCTAATGTTCTTGTCTTGTCCTCCAGTGGCCCAGAGACAACAGTGAGAAAATACACAAGACTGCATTTCCCCAGGTTAGAAGTCTAGCTTTGTGTTTTGTTACTTGAACACACATAAATCCCATGTTTTCCACTGATGTTTATTTATGTGGCTTAAGAAAAAAATTAAGTATTTTACACATAAGACATGCAACATGAGAAACGTTGTAAATGAAAATACTGTTTTAAGAATACATGTGAATATATACATTCACAATACAGCTAGAGTAACTATGCCTTTCAGATGGCCTGGAGAAGTCTTGCTTTACTCCTACTATTCCAGTGAAAGTATTAATAGCTCCCCCTTTCAATCTCAAAAGAGTCCTATGTTGGATGATAAATAATATAATCACATTATCTATGGCTCATATTCAAAGGGGTCAAGTAATAAAGCCAGGTATCCTCAACTTTAATCAAGATTATTTTGCTTGTAAAAGAACTTGAAAGTAGACATAACAAGGGCAAAAGTCAAGAACATCAAAATGAGAAATAAGGAAAAGAAAACCTGCTCAAATTTTATCATTCAAAAAGGAATGACTAGGGGGGCCTGGGTGGCTCAGTTGGTGGCTGAAGTCGGATGACTTCAGCTCAGGTCATGATCTCGTGGTTTGTGGGTTCGCACCCCGTGTCAGGTTCTGTGCTGATAGCTCAGAGCCTGGAGGCTGCCTCGGATTCTGTGTCTCCCTCTCCCTTTGTCCCTCCCCTGTTTGTGCTCTCGTGCTCTCTCTCTCTCTCTCAAAAATAAATAAACACAAAAAGTTTAAAAAAAATAAAAATAGAAGTCATAACTAAAATATTCTTTTAAAGTACAGATTTCTTTAGCATCAGGATAACTTTAGAATATCTAAAATTTTTTGTAAGTTTATTTATTTGTTTTGAGAGACAGAGTGCACATGTGCAATTGGGAGAGGGGCAGAGAGAGAGAGAGAGAGAGAGAGAGAGAGAAAATCCCAAGCAGGCTCCAGTGTCAGTGCAGAGCCCAATGCAAGGGCTTGATCTCACGACCATGAGATCATGACCTGAGCCAAAATCAACTTGCTTACTGACTGAGCCACCCAGGTGCCCCTAGAATATCTCAATTCTTAATTTATAAAGTATTTATAGAGTGTCTCTTCTGTAGGGTTAGTCATTATATTAGATACCAAGAATAAGAAGATAAGACATAGCTCTTTTTTATTATTATTTTTTTACATTTATTTATTTTGAGAGAGAGAGAGAGCAGGGGAGGCGCAGAGAGAAAGGGAAGGAGGGAAGGAGGGGGGGGAGAGAGAGAGAGAGAGAGAGAGAGAGAGAGAGAGAGAGAGAGAGAGAGAGAGAGAGAGAGAGAATATGACTATCCCAAGCAGGCTCCACATCAGTGGTGTTGAGTCCTACATGGGGCTTCAACTCAGGAACCATGAGATCATGACCTGAGCTGAAACCAAGAGTTGCACACCTAACCAACTGAGCCACTCAGGCACCGACATAGCTCTTTTTTAAAAGGAGTTTAGAACCAACAGGAGGAGATTATAGGTTATTTAGGTTATTTACCCAAACAAATAAATTATAAACAGCTACAATCCCATATCATAAATGCTCTGATAAAAGTAAACATAGGGTGTCAAGTGAAGCACTGAAAAGGGAGCAAGGATGGAGATCAGGGGAGGATTCACAGAGGCCGTACAGGATTTTTTAGGAAAATGATGATGACTGAGCTGGATCATAAAAAATAAAAGGGGATGGAAGGTGAAGACAAGAGGAAAAGGAGACATTCAAAACAAAGGGAATCACATGTGCAAATGGTAAAGGCATGAAAAATCTGTGAAAATGGTGCAAATCACTTAGAATGGCAGGAGCAAGCACAAAGTGACAACGGATATAGCTAAAGAAGGATTCAGAGATCAGATGTGAAACTAAAAACAACCATAAATGGGGCGCCTGGGTGGCGCAGTCGGTTGGGCGTCCGACTTCAGCCAGGTCACGATCTCGCGGTCCGTGAGTTCGAGCCCCGCGTCAGGCTCTGGGCTGATGGCTCGGAGCCTGGAGCCTGTTTCCAATTCTGTGTCTCCCTCTCTCTCTGCCCCTCCCCCATTCATGCTCTGTCTCTCTCTGTCCCAAAAATAAATAAATAAACGTTGAAAAAAAATTAAAAAATAAAATAAAATAAAATAAAAACAACCATAAATGATTTGAAATTTATTCTCAAGATATAAGGAGCCATTGCATAATTTTGAGGGAATGGGCAAAATAGATGCATTTTAGAAGGGCTACTTTCACAGCAGTGGGGAAGATGAATTTGATGGAGCCCAGACTGGAGGTGGAAAAACCAGTTAGGAGTCGTCTGGAGTAATTTAGTTTAAAAAATATCTGCGGGGACATAAGTAGGAAGAGTGTAATGGCAGCAGACTGTGGAGTAGATGGTTCAGTAAAGAGGCTTGAGCTGAAGCTATAGATTTAAGGATCAACATTTTAAGTGGTAGGTGAGCTATGGGAGATATGATCTGGCAGGGAGAAAGGACAGTGCAAAGAGAAGAAAGCCAGGAGCAAGCTCTGTGTGACTCTAGTGTTCAGAGGCAGGAAAAGTGGATAAACTCCTGAAGGAGATGGAGGAGGGATCATGAGAAGATGAAGAGAACCCATGAGAATGGGGTGTCAGCTTCAAAAAGAGGGTAGAATACAGCACCAGGAATGAGTATGCGTTACATCTGGCAATCAGGCTTCTGGTTGATCTTTGCCATAATTACTCAATAGAGTGGTGGCATGGAAGCCACATTTTAGAGGGTTATGGATTAACCGGAGATAAGAAAATAAAGATAGCAAGCATAGACTACTTTTTTCGCCAAGAAGGTTGGACATGAAGAAAAGGAGAATAAGGTAGTAAAGGTAGTAAATAGGCTTTGTTATTGTTGTTACTACTTTTAACAGTAAAAGATTATTGAAATATTGTTTTTAATGTGATGCAGAAAGTCATGAAATAGAAGAAATCCAGCACAATTCCTCCACGTTCCTCAGTGAGGAGTCCCCTGGCGAAGAGTGTCTCCCTCACCATTCTACATCATAGATTCAATAAATATCACAAGGTAGAGAATATTGGATGCTACTAAAATGGCCATTTATAGATTAGCCACCATTTACTGAGCACTTGCTATGGTTAATCAATACGCGAAGTGCCCCATGGGTTTGAGGCATCATCTTGTTTAATTCTCATGGAGGTGGTAGTATTATTATCATCACCCTTATTTCACAAATAAATTAACAAGACTATAAGGGATTAAGTATGATACTCAAGGTCACATAGAAAGTAAATAGCAGAGCCAGGATCTGAATCTAGGCACCTGGACCTCAGAGCCTGAGGTCTTAACTACTACACCACATTGCTGCTTCCCAGAATGTCCAGGTTCAAGTGGTATTCATTTACAATTCAGAAGAATTTTTTCATTGATATACACAATGTCAATAATTCCCTTCTCTGGCATTATCCCCATCTACACACGGTAAGAAAAATTAGAGCATTCACCTGATTATTCTAAAGTGATGTTTACCTGTTTAAGACAATGAGGAAAAAAATAGCTGACTTAAATATACTCTTCCTGGCTTCGGCAAACCTATCGGACATGGGTGATAGAAGACAATATCTCTGCCAATCAATCATGAAAGCAATTCCCACTCAGTACTTTTCACATTCCTTCCTCTTGGACAAACACAACGAAGTGAGGGTCAGGAAAAGAGAGGCACGTAGCAGGATAGGAAAGATGGGTAAACCAAATAGTTACTTGTTGGAAAGTTAAAGAATTCAAACTTACTTTTTTGGTACACTTCTTGACGGTATTGATTAATTCTTGTATTACCAGATCTACACTCTTCAAGGACGGTCCTTTAAGCTTTACAATTTGTTTTTTGACTATTGCTTCAAATGCCATGTCTGGAGTAAACAACCCCGTCCTGAATGTAAGGAATAAAGCAGCACATTAGATTTTTTAAATTGAGTAATATCCAGTACTTTTTTGAAAAAGGTTTCAATTGGCATGCCACCTAAAGCAAGCATGTAATGCCCAAGTTTGAAAGTTACATAGTGATTTATTCTATAGACAGTATCATTTGTAATAACATTTTCAATACTACAATTCCTTAATAAATCCCAATCTATAGATGACTAGCATTACCTAAAAACAGTTTCCAAAATGTTTTCATGGACTCTAATAATACGACTTCTAACTAACACTTGACTGTAATTTGTCTCATCTCACAGTTTCACAGCAATAAAAAGCACTGCTACAATAAAAATGGTCCTAAATTTACATTTCTATTCCTAAAGTATTCCAAAAGCAACCCTCTCTTGCCCTTCAGAGAGCAGAAAATAATCCTCACTTTGTGAAAGCTGAAATGGTAGTGTTCCTGACTATGCAATCTATTCTTCCTAGGAGAGCTGTATTATAGTGAGCTCAGTGGTTCCCAGTCTGAGGTCCTGGGGTGCTAGAGGAAAAGGAAGACAGTTAAGTGGAACAACTTTGGGACACAGAATGCCTAAATCATGAATTTACAAAAATAACAAATGATAACCAAAATAGCAAGTATCTTTTCACTTAGCTGGAATTAATTCAAATTGGTGTCCTAACAATGCTTTTGTCATGCTCTTCTCACTTCTTCTTTGATTAACTTCTCCTCCTTGACCACTCAGTTCTGTGGTACCTCTTTTGGGAAATTTAACACTTCCCCTTACAGCAGCTTTATACTGCCCCTCCTAACCATTTACTTAGCACCCTATGTTCGCCTCTATTTCTAACTATAGTGATCATATTATACAGTAATTTGAAATCTCTCCACGTTGGACATAGAATAAAATCCACACCGTTTGGTCTAATATTAAACATTTCCCCCGTCTGACCCTGATTTTCCATTGCAGTTATTTGCCTCCACCCTTTCATGCACCCTACGTTCCAGCCAAACCCAACCATTTGCCTTTCCACAAATATATTCATACCAACGTTTCCTGTCTTTGCCTTCGTCCGTGATGTTCATTTCACCCTCCCCACAATTTCAGCCTGTCCCGAATCCCACCTGTGCTTCAAAGCCCAGATCAAAAGCAACCACTTCCTACAGCTTGCCTTCTCCAGTCCTGCCACTGACAAGGCCTTCCTTCTCTGAACCCCAGCATCCCATTTGGCACTGCAGTGGTCTGAGCACACACAGTCCCATTACTACACGGGTAGGCAGGGCATTAATGCATTTATCTTTGTTTGCCCCACAAGGGCTGTCTTCTTCCCTTGCTCGCCATCGGCACACGGCACTTGCAGAACAAAGAAGGACCCACAGGTCTGCAGTGGACAAAGATGGCTTCTATTCAAATGTCTAACAGAATCAACTGGAAACAAAACTTGTCAAATGAAGTGTATTTAAGAGGCTAAATAATCATGCCATCGGTGTGTCTTATTCTCAGGACACTGTGTACTTATCATCCTATAGGCAAATTAACTCCAGAATAATAACAATCTCTCCTTTTGGTATGTAAGTAAATCAGAAATTTTCAAAACAGAATTACTGAGCTTTTGCAGTTACATTCAACAGAAATGTATGTGGTAAGGAGTTTGGGGGTTTTTGTTTTGTTTTATTTATTTTGAGAGAGACAGAGCACATGCGTGCACACAGGGGAGGGGAAGAGAGAGAGACAGACAGACAGACACTGTCCCAAGTGGGCTCCACGCTGAAAGCGCAGAGCCCAACATAGGGCTCAGTCTCACTACCGTGAGATCATGGATGACCTGAGCCGAAATCAAGAGCTGGACACTTAACCAACCGAGCCACCCAGGCGCCCCTGGTAAGGAGTTTTAAAAGCCAAGTAAAAGTACTAGGTCTTACTTTTACAGTAAAGTAAGTATAAAAATACTTCATGAACCAAAACATGTGATTTGGTTTCACTGCACCTAGCAGATTGACATTTTCGGATACCAGCTCTGCCCAGCTCAAGACTAAGACATAGTTTCCATACCAAATGCATTCTAGATTTGAGCGAGACAGAATAGAGTTAATAGGGAACTTAGAAATCCTGTTGATAGTAACAGAAAAATACTGGATTTGGTTATAGAATGTTTTCTCCCTTTTATTTTGTGAATGCATATTTACCTATCCTATTTGCAACTTTTAGAGCAGATGTCTGAATTTTAAAATGATAAATAATTCAAATGTCATAACTCCTTTTACATGTACACTCAGCGTCAAGCTTTGCCCTCTCAGCCTCTGTTCCCAAAATAGTCTCAACTCAACCCTGTGGCAGAAGCTGAGATACAGCTGCCAATAGACAGGGGACACCTGCTTCACAGGAGATAATCTATGAAGTAGGCATCCTAAGTTCAATACCTTAAATTCAGGACACTTACTATATGTGCCATTAAATTTTGTTTAGCCTTCTGTACATGAACTCAAGAAATGTGTGTTTTGAGTTTCTTTAAAGAAACTAAATGAGAATAATCCCGTTGCATACAAGGGAAACTTCCACACAAGGTACAAGCTCTACTCCCAGCCTCAGATCCCACCATGCTCCTGTCTACATCCCTGACTCCAGTCAAAAAGCAGGCCCTCTGCTCCATAACTCCACACTGCGCTTTACCACCTCTATGCCTCTGTTCACAATAGTCCTCCCACTTTCAGTACTTTCTTTAATCCTCCTGCCGCGACAATCTCCATACTCTCAGGTTTTACACACACGCACATGTAAACACACAGCACACCGTTGCCTGTTGAAATCATTCTTGTTCTCTAAACAGGCAAGGTTCCACTCAAAAGTCACCACTCTTCGTTAATCTTTCCCAATCTTACTCTACAGCTCCTGCCGAAATGTATCTGTCCTGTCTCTGTGTACGTAACGATTACTTCTGAGCATGTCAGGCCTCCTTCCCCAACATGCCAGGCTCTGGAGAACAAGATCTTGCTCGTTGGTAAAATCCCTGTGCAGAGCACAATGCTGTGAGTGCAGAAAGCGTTTCTGCTTTTTTAACTGAAAAGTCTTCTTTTGTGAGTATGACAATACAGGAAATTAGCACGAAACTCAAACCAGAGTGTCTTATTTCTTACTCCCACCTCTGTATTCTACTCTGCTCAGATGATGAAAAGCCTACTTCACTAGCCATTTATAAACATTAATTTTCTCTTAGTAGCTTGAACTGAAGACAAGGGAAATGTGAATTACTTGCCTGATACCATGTATGTTTTTGATTGCATAGCTTATTTCTCTTCGTAATTCTTTCTCATTGAACTCCATCTGCAGAAGCAAAATGAGCCACAGTTAAAACACTTAATTCCTTTGAATAATAATATTGTTGAATATTAAAATATGAGGATAACTTGAATTAGTTATTAATAAATGTATACTATGTCTTTCCTAACCTAAACCCAGATGGTCAAAACATCTGTTTATATAAAGTTCAAGGCAACGTAGAACATTGGAGATTTCTGAGCGTTTTAGTGCAGTGGATTTTAACTCTCTTATAGATAGGAGTACTATGCATAAAAGATGCCTTCTGCACATAAATCTGGCCATTCATTTGAAATATACAATACTTCATTCTTTTGCTGAATGTAGTAAATGTATTCACAGACAAATGCATAAATAAGTGTCACCTGACATGCAACAGCAGTCCAGCTGTGCTGAGATTAACAATGGCTGTCTTTTCTCCCTGGCCATTTTAACCACCTGCATTCAAGGCCTCTTTACAAGAGGAAATTAATAATATTTTACCAATCCAATGCAGGACAGATTGCTGCATAAAAATTTCCCAGAAGCTTTAGGTACTTTAAATTTACTTGGAATTAGGATCAAAGTGTCATGGAGCTTAGACCTAAAAGGGATATCAGAGCACATTTGGTTCAGCCTTTTACTTCTCAGATTTGGCTTCTCCAGCCTGTCTATCCATTTCCCCCCTTACACTTTATACCACAGAACGATAAATTGCTTTAGTTCCCTACCCACACCCTGTGGCCCACAGCTCAGCCTTTACCGTTCCTCCCTTCTGTCTGGAACAATTCCAGCCCCAAACCTTCTCCTGCTTCACTAGTTGCTCATCCTTCTAAACTCAGCTCAGAAGCCAGGCTCCGTCATGCACTCACACAGGGATTCAGGTCCGTAGGCTGTGTTTCCATAGCACCTTGTACTGAAGTTTATCACTTTACTTAGCACATTTTAACGAAACTATTTACCCATTTCCCTCCCACACCAAGATATAAGCACCCTCCTCTGTATGTGAAGCAAGGAGCATAGTCTCTAAAACTATTCAGCAGCCTATTGGGCAATCCAAACTAAACATATCCAAAATAAAATTCTTGGTTCATACCTCTACACAAACTCAGCTTTTATTCAGTTTCCCTCATCAGATGGGCACTAACATTTGCTGTTGTGCAAGCCAAAACCTTAGGGGTCATCCTGAATCTTCTCTTTCTTGCATCTCCCATATCAATCCAAGCCCTACTGACCCTACCACCAAAATCACAAATCCATCCACGTCTCTCTATCCTCTCTTCTGGAGCATTTTGACTATGAAGCTAAGAAGATTAAGTTTCAGGGCTTGTCTCTTGCATAAGCACCTTCCAAGACCCTGTGCCTGTGTATTTATAATTTTGTATTCTTCTTCTTCAACATCCCCCCCCCCAAAAAAAAACTGTATAAACGTTAGGCCCCACAGAAAGTGGATTCCTCCCGCTCTGGCTGTACTGGTGAACTTACCTTGTCTCCCTGAATCAACTCTTGCCCCTTTACAATCCAGCCTGCAAAGCATTCCTTTCAAAATCATCAACCAAATAGGGTCCACCTTTTCTTAAAACTCTCCCCTAATTTCTCACTGTTAAATGTAAATGCCTCACTGCAACCTGGAAGGCCCTACGTAAACTGGGAGCTTCCTTCCTCTGAATCCATGGCATACCCGCTCCCCTTCCTCAGCTCTGCCCGAGCTTCATCTATTCCTTACCCACTGTACAGATGCTTGCTTTAGGGCCTCATCCTCGGCTGCTTGCCTTGAATGACCCTCTTCCCCGAGATCCTTACAGCTGACCTCTTCATGCCATTCTGATCATGCTTTCAGTGTCCCCTACTCAGAGAGACCTTGCCTGAAACATCCCATCAAAAGTGGCTCACCCAACCCCTCTCTCTAACATTATGTTACATAATAACACTTGATGTTTTCTTACCTTGCCTATCTGTAAAAATTTTCTGCCACTCCCCACCAGACAGTGCCTCTGTCTTGATCACTGGCATCGAGAATTTTGGCACAGAATAGGTGCTCAAGAAATATTTTTAAATTAATTAGACAACAAATAAATATCATAGGAACTCAATTAGTACTTGTTGAAATACGTTGAAATGTTGCTAGATCCCATTAAATACAATCAGAACCATCAGTAAGAAAATACTTCCCTCCTAAATTTCATCACCTGAGTATGGAGATTTTTGTTCAAAAAACTCTCTTAGTCCCATATCACTCACATAACATTTTACGAATAGTTATATAGAATAGAACATGGAAACGAAATGAAGTGAAAGGGAAAAAAAATAATATTTGGTACAAACCTTTACTATCTCAAAAGGAAAGCGTTCATGGAAAATACGGTTAATTTTAGCCCCTCCTGAGAGCTCCAGCGTATCTACTTGATCCCCTGACCCTTCAATTCTCTTCTCGAAGTCCACAGCAAATTGCTGAACCATCCTATAATTGTAAAAGAGAAATAAATTCAAGTTAAAGTTATAAGGCTTTGCATTTCTCATTCCAATTTGCTGTGGTTATCCCTTAGAGTCCTTTTCCTAGTGTTCTTAGTGGCACCTACTGGCAGAATGATCCCTGCACTCAAAAATGTAACTATATGAAATACATGCTATCAAAATTTATTTGAGGTGTGTAATTAAAATATATATCTTAAATATCTATGTCATTAGATGCATTCTGTCCAATTAGCTGAAATCATAAAATGGTATTTAAAAATACTTAAGTATACTTAAAATACTTAAAAATACTTAAAATAAGAATTTAAGTTAAACAATAAAACTGCATAGAAGAATCAAAATGAATCACACTCATCTAATGTCCTAACTGCTCCAGCTGAGCCCCCTCATTACCCTGTGAGCTACTCTCTTCCCCGCCCCGCCCCCAGGATCACAGACCTCTCGAAGCCAGAACAATGCAAATTTGTGACCACCATCCCCTCCACAACTAGCTCTAGCCTTGTTTTTCAATGATTCCCCACATTTTAATAATAAAAGTAAAACTCCTGAAGTCATCACCCAAGATTCTCCGTGGTCTGGCCCTGGAGCTCCATCTCTCACTACTAGTCCTCATTCACCTCTAAGCCAATCATAAAGAAGCAACTGGCAGCTCCCTACATGCACCACATCTCTGTGCTTCTACACCTGTTTTCCTTTCTGCTCAGAATACCATTTTCTCTGCCGCTTGCTTCCTTGCCTGGCTTATTTTTCTGTCCCTCAAGACTCAGGTCAAGCATCAGTGTTTAGGAAAACTTCCATGACCCTCTCCACCACCCCTCCTCACTGCCATCAGACAAAGGGCCTCTCCTCTGTTTCTTCAGCTTATTTTCAGCATAGTGCTTAGCAGAGAACATCACCACTGTTCACTTATCAGTCTCTCTCCTAAGGGCAAGGACCATGCATTTCATTTATCTCTCCCTTCTCAATATGAGAGGTACTCAATAACTTCAATGAAGGAATGAATTAAGGTGGTTGGTAAAAAACAAAGAAATATAGGGAGAAAATAACCACTTATATTTGTGATTACTAAATTTAGAAACTAATTTTGATATACTAGTACTACTTCCAAATTTAAAATTTCATAGGAAAAAATTCAAACCATCTAAAACTCGTACTTTTTATTCTCTTTTAACGAAATCCTGGATAAATTAAAATTGCAAATTATTCAGGCCACAAAATTCAGAATATAATTTGATGTAGCTATGTTTACACATATGCCAACATTGCCAATGTTAAGCTAATTTTTAACCACCTGAGAAGGTATAGACATGACACATGCACTGAAACCTTGGGAAATTTTAGAAAATTTACCTCCGGCCACTCCTTTCCTCATACCCTACACTCCAGCCCCCTGGCCCACTACAACAAACCATACCCGAGTTCGCACTATTCTCTGGTCCTCCTCTTCCATCTGACAAACTCTTCCCATACATCAGTGTCTCATTAAATATCTTGTTCTCCGTGAACTCACAACCTTCCTCACCTGTAACTGCTTCCTCAGCTGGGATCCCTTAACATTTTATACTTACCAGAAATACGGCATTTATCAGATTTTAACACAGTTGCTTATAGATCTGTTTCCCTCTTTCTATTGTGGCCTCTTCTTGAGGTCAAAAGTCTTTCCAGTAGGTATCAGAGAACCAGACACCAAGTGAAACACAAAGAGATGAGAGGAAACCAAGAAGAGAGGTAGGCAGAAAGGGGAGAATGAAAGGAGAAAGGGAGAGAGGAAGGAACTGATTAGCTCCCTACAAGGGAAGAATCTAGATATAGAAAAGTCTGTAATCTGAGTCCAATGGAGTCAGAGGCAAGACCAGCATTTGTAAGGAGAATAGTTTCAGGTGGATGTTAAGATAATGACCTACGGCTTACACAGAAATAGCTTTCTTTTCTCTGTAACTTGAAGAGTTTTTATAGGAGCTTAACCAAAGCCAGGAATAAAAAAAAAAAAAAAAAAAAAAAAAAAAAAAAAAAAAAAAACTAGGAAAGAGTTGAATCCACTCTTTCCTCTGTATGATCCTATAATATTTTCAAATAGGGAAACATAGAATGTTGCATTAAAATCTTACTTAAATAATTTGAGCATTTAGAAATATCTCTACAAAGACAGGAATTATGTCATGAATTTTAAACATCAAATGAAGGGGGGGTGTATCTTGATCAAGCCTGCACAGGAAGAAGGGGGCCATAAGAGGTGGCAAGCATTATCTTTGTAAATGGACTTAGGATGTTCTAGAACATCAGCTGGGCAGGAAGTCTTCTGGTCGAGAGGAACCTGACCTAAGTTGCAGCACAGGAATAAAAAGGCAGGTGAGGCTAGGAAGGGCCAAACAAAGAGAATAAAGATAAAAGGCACTGGAGCTGGCAATTCTCTAACAACTCTGCTGCACCACCTGAGACCTCTCAGGGATAAACCTAGTAATCCAAGGGTAAGATGGAAAGACCATGAAGGAGTAAAAAGATACGTGGCAGTTTTCACATTTGTATTTTTAAACAGCTACATTAAAATCATAACCGAAAAGGAAAAAGAAATCTAAATGTGCCCTTATTGTCCATACTTTATTATTAAAGCCTTGGTTCTCATTCCACTGAAAAATGCACACGGATAAATCACGTGAAATGACTAAAATAATAAAAAGATAGGGGTGCCTGGGTGGCGCAGTCGGTTAAGCGTCCGACTTCAGCCAGGTCACGATCTTGCGGTCCGTGAGTTCGAGCCCCGTGTCGGGCTCTGGGCTGATGGCTCAGAGCCTGGAGCCTGTTTCCGATTCTGTGTCTCCCTCTCTCTCTGCCCCTCCCCCATTCATGCTCTGTCTCTCTCTGTCCCAAAAATAAATAAACGTTGGAAAAAAAAATTAAAAAAAAAAGATAATAAGTACGAGTGACATCAATAGAAACAGTTGTACAATACAAATGACATTTTCAACAGGACCTTTGTCCACTTCTAAGGACTAAGAGGAAAAACGCTGCTGAGTTATCATTATTGGTTTTACTCATTTTTGGAATCCAGTTATAAAAGTACAATGAAATTGGACATGGGGATGAATAATTGGTAAATTTATAGTAAGAGAGGAAGATCCACAATTATTCTTCAAGACCACATAAAGACCTAAGGCCCATTGTCTAACATGCACCAAGTGTCATATACTTGCTTCTTCTGTTACACCTAGAAAATAGCATGACAAACAGACTGAGGCAAGAGCAAACTGAAGAAATTAGTTTCACATGCTGAACAAGGGAAGGGAAAGGTGACTCACTGCAACAACGCTTTGGTCTTCCTGGTGGGGTCTTCGGGCTTGAAGTTTTTATGGGCTTCCACTTCATGTTCAATGGAGAGCAACTGTCCCTGTAGTTTGTTCCTGAAGTTCGGCAGGGTATCTCGAATGTGGTTGGTAAGTTGCTAAATAAAACAAAACAAAATCGTACAGATATAACAGATTAAAGATTAACTCATGAGATAAAAATTGACCTTTACTGTTTCCCTAATCATTCAAAACTTAGAAATCAATTACGTATATACACTTGAGACTAACTCTGTAGGTAAATAATGAGAAGAAGCTCCAGTTCTCTCCTCCATGGCCTTAAGGACATGCTCAAAATGCCTTCAGTTGGAGTCACTCACTTGGGCTACCTCTTTATGCCTGGAAACACCCTTGTTAAAATGCATACAATGTTAATAATGAGGCTGCCTAATAACATTTTTGCATGAATTAATATATCAGATGGAACCTTAAGTGAGAATTTAGTTAGAAATGAAGGAATTGGGGACTTCTAGGTGCTGCTGGATGTTTTCAGGACCATACTGGTGGAACTCATAGGTACCTGTCAGTTGTTAACTTCTAAACTCTGCAGCTCAGACAGTGTTTCCTCTTGCCCTGCCTCTAGCGCCAGTGCAGTGGTGGGTGTTCAGGGGCTTCTGCCTTTAGTGGTTTTCATATTAAAGCTCCATGACTAGCAAAGGAAAGCTCTCTCTGCTGCTGCTGCTATCTCTACCTAACCATCCACTTGGTTTCGCCGCTGAAGGTCATCTGCTGGCACCTCCAGCTCAGCAGGGTGAAAAATTCTCTGAGAGATTGTCTATGAGTACATGATTAACTAAGAAAAAAGCTTAATTAGGAAAAAAGAAAATTAATTAAGAAAAAAGGGCACCTGGGTGGTTAAGACGGTTAAGCATCTAACTCTTAGATTTTGGCCCAGGTCATTATCTCATGGTCGTGAGATTGAGCCCCACATGGGGCTCTGTGCTGGGTGTGGGGCCTGCTTAAGATTCTCTCTTCCTTTTCCTCTGCCCTTCCCCCACTCATGTGCACCCACGTTCGCTCACTCTCTCTCTCTCTCAAAAAAAAATGTGGGGTATAAACCCAGATTGGCTAGCTCTCTGCCTCATGTTCTTTCTATTACAATGCAGTTAAGCAAAAATCTGAATTAAAAGAAAAGAAAAAAAGATAATCTTCTTGAATCAGTTAATAAACTTGGAATTAAAAGAAAAAGAGAATGTAAACTTCACAGAAATTCAGGAAAAAGACTAATAAATTAAAAGTAAGAGGAATTGGGGAGCCTGGGTGGCTCAGTCAGTTGGGTGTCCAACTTCGGCTCAGGTTATGATTTCACATTTTGTGAGTTTGAGCCCCACTTTGGGCTCTCTGCGAGGAGCCTGCTTTGGCCCCTCTGTCTCCCTCTCTTTCTGCCTTGCCTCTCTCTCTTTTTCTCTCAAAAAAAAAAAAAAAAAAAAAAAAAAAAAAAACATTAAAAAAAGTAAGGGGAATAAATATTCCCAGACTGACTGAAGAAACCATCTTAATCATTTTTTATGTTTATCTGAGGTTACTATACTTATTTAATTGTTGATAGTTCGTAACTATATTATACCTTTGTGCACAGTATGATGTATGTTATTACCCAGCATATGCTATTGCTATAGCTCTGAAGCAGAATGTAGAGGACTGCATTCCCAGTAGCAACATCACAAACCCCCAAGTCTAAGAGTAACAGTAACCACGAGAAACCAGTAGCCACCTGTCTGCCATGTGAGTGGTAAATGATAAAAACACATGGTTTCCACTTTTTGCTTCTTAGATATCTCAACAGCAAAGCAACACTGTGGACCACTCTTAGATTCCTAAAAAACTTCTTTCCTTGGCTTTTGTGGCCCTAGATCCTAACATTTATGGATGTACCTTCTCCATCTCCATTGCCAAGTCATCTCCCTCCACCAGACCTGTAAATACCAACATTCCTCAAAGCTGATTCCTAATCTTCTTTGTTCACACTCTGTTCTTTCCTAAAGGAATCTTATTCCACCCATAGCTTTAATAAATATCCAAACACCTGTGACTACCAAGGTGTTATCTACAGACCAGACTTTTTATTTTTGCTATAGGCATATGTATTAGACCATGGACTTTACTTCTCTTAGATGTGTCAATGACACCTCAACCCCAGCATGTCTGAAATCAAGCACCTAATCTTCCTTTCAGAGCTCTCCATCTTGGAGACATCATAACAACCTGGGAACTTGGAGGTTATCTTTGACTTCATCTCTCTATCACTCACCAAAGCTAATCTACCACCAAGTTCTTGATTTTCCTAAACATTTGTCAATTCTGTTTTTTTCATCTTCACTGGCCCTAACCAAGACCAAGCTACTATCATTTCTCATTTTGACTCCTAACTTCTCATGTCTAGTCTTGATCTTCCTACCTGCAACTTCCATGACCATTGTTAATCCACAAATACAACTGTGTAATTTGCCTATTCAGATGTCTTAAATGACTCCCTACTGCTCTTAGGATAAGAACAAAAATCTTTAACTTGCCTACAAACATTACAGGATCCAGCCTCTGCCTACTTCTCCAAATTCATCTCTTATAACTCACTCCCTCATTCTCTGCCCTCCAGCCATAATGACATTGAATTCCTCAAAAGTGTCATGTTCTGTTCCAGTTTTTCACCATAGAAACTGTTCCCCAGGGCCCAAGGTACTGGTGCACACAGTGAATCAGCCATAAAAGTATCCTATTTTCAAACAGTTTGAAGATCCCTGAAGCAGTAAAAAAGAAGGTGATTATCCAAGAAATGAGAGATCTTCAGTACAAAATTCATTCAGTTTTCAGTCATCTAGAATCCAATTATGTCATAATTTAGGGGTCATTTGTAAAACAAAATGGCCAATCATATTCTTTCTATTTTTCTAGTATTCACAACCTAATTTATTTCCAACCTTATCTTCCTAATCATCCTAATGATTTTTCTCTAAGATTTTTTTCAGTTTATTTGTGTTTTTCATAGATAAATCCAGGCATGAAAGTAATAATCTAAAGAGAGTTTTACCAATACAAAATATATTTGTGGACTATTAGGGTTTTTGCATGACAAACTAATGTTCTTTCTCTAAAATACATTCATTCATATTTGTTAAATGACACAAGCACAGCACCACCTCATGGCTTCTAAATACTCATCTACCCATAAGTAAAAAGCACAAATTTTACATTAGTCTATGTTATGTCACAAAAAATAGAAGTATACCACTGCCTGTTTTTTTTTTTTTCCTAAAACTTGTTCAATTGTTTTGCCTAAATGGTTCAGGTCCAATGTCACAAGTAGCCTGCTATTGTGTTAGTCTCTACTGACACCTTCTAGGAGCAAACAATCAGAATATGCAATAATGACTTGATTAATTGACTGTTAAAACTCATAAATAAAAGTTAAAGCATATCTTATAATTCTGTTGGTGAGAACAGCTGCTCACCATTTGGTCAATGTAATCAAAACTCAGGGAGGAAGCCCTGCACTCACTAAGGATGATGCTTAACTTCCCCAGGAGATGGAGAATATATGGAAAAAAAAAGTAAAAAGTAAATGTACTGAGGTTTTATGGAAGAAGTATGTAAGTGCCTGGAATGTTGGAAGATGGGGACCCAAGTCTATCTGTGCAGAGAAAGGGGTTAATCTGGAAAAACTTCTTAGATGAATGGAGATCAATGAGCTTACAAGGATTTCTAACTTAGGGAAATCTAAGCTAACTATTACATGTTGACATTTTGAAACGAGATCCCAACAAATCAACCTTTCAGAAATATACAAGTTTAATTTCTTAAGATAACTACATATTGTGAGTAAAATGGGCGCTGATGTATACCCTTGTTTACTGTTCCTAAATAAGTATATACTTCTGCTTTGAGCAGTATTATTTGAATAACATTAAAGCAGATTCTACTCACTGAGAACAGTAGGAATGTGGAACTAAATATTTACATTCGTTTTTTAATTCATATCATTTAAGCTGAATGTCTTATTTTGGAAAAAAATGAATATTAAAATGAAATACGAATTCTAATAGTGACTTACATATTTCATAATTGTTCTTGTTGCTTGAGAAAACATTTTTACCTGATTAAGGACCTTCTGCAGGTGTGGGGTCCCCATCCTATCAGCAATATGTCTGTAAGCTGGGTGTGAGAGGAAAAATTTCCTTTCCGCCAACATGGCAGCCTTAATGTCCTTCTTCCCATCTATGTCCTTCTGGCTTCTGTTTACCACCCCCACGTAACCTGAAACACAACACATACAATGGGGTTTAGAATACTTTTTGTTGTTTATTCTGGGAAGATTTCAAGGCTCTTGAAGAGGCTGAATAAGCCAGGCAAAATTATTTTTAAGGACTGAAGAATTGAACCCTTTACGAACTCAGTTTGAGACACCAGTATTTAACAAAGGCTGGTTCATGTGGCTAATGATAATTTCTTAGCATTAACACAATAATGTCTTTTGCCCTTAAAAGCTCTGTACATTTTAATACAGTGTGTCTCTTAGCAGTTTTGTCATATGGTGGGCAAGTAAATAAGTCACACTTAGAACAGTATATATTTATGCAGTCTATGATGAATATTTATACCCCCCTTCAAACCCTTCCTTTTCCTGTTTTCCTATTCCTATTATTTTAAGAAATAGTTCTCCTATTGGATCATTTTTAATATATCACTTGGGAACATTATGCCACTCCATAAAAAGTATAACTAATCATGAATACATTATTCCTCACAACTGTGAAGGCATAAAGCCAAGCTTTGCATTGGTTTCCCAATCATTTCTCTGCTACATCATCAAAGCAAATCCTGTATAGGACACAGTACATTACCCCTGCGAAGAGGCAGAAGCTTGTTCTCCAGAACATCCCTGGCATCTGTTCCTTCATCCATAAGATCCAATTTGGTGATGACTCCAATGGTTCTTAAACCTGTATCACAAACCAACCCACTTTATTACACAGTATGCAGAAGACTAACAAATTTTAGAGACATATATGTCCCAAGACTAAATGCAAGGTACTCATATTTCTGGTCCTTTTCCTGTTCCTCTCTCTTATTTTGTTTTCTGATCCACTGCTATCCCAGTCTGGTAAATTTTGATGTGATGAGCAGGAGAGTTTTAAAATTACCCATCCAGGGGCACCTGGGTGGCTCAGTTGGTTAAGCATCCAACTCTTGGTTTGGGCTCAGGTCATGCATGATCTCACAGTTTGTGAGTTCGAGCCCTGCATAACAGGCTCTGCGCTGGTGGCACAAAGCTTGCTTGGGATTCTCTCTCTCTCTCTCTCTCTCTCTCTCTCTCTCTCTCTCTGTCTTCTTCTCTCTGCCCCTCCCTCTCTCTATCTCAAAAATAAATAAACATTTAAGATAAAATAAAATAAAACCACCCATTCATAATATCACCACAATAATTTTAAATATATGAGTTTATTTTTGTACCATGTATATATGGAAACTATACACTTAAAATTTTCCTCCAAGGTCCTGCACATGATATGGGTGCTTTAATTTTTTTATGTATTACTTTACTGAAAACAAACAAGTAGGCTACACATGGACCAATGAAGAGAGTGTATCATAAATCAAAGCTGATTATTGATCCATTTCTGAGCACTTGACACACAAATTATAAGAAAATTAGGTATAGGACAGTGTCATCACTAAGAATAAAGTTTCAAGTCTCACAGCATTCCCTGTTCCTCAGAAAAAAAAAATATGACTTAACGGAAAGAAGACCAAACTAGGAATCCTGAGGCTTGGATTCTAGTCTCAAGGAAAGTCACTTAACTCTCTTCTCTGGGTCTCAGTTTTCTTCATCTATAATATAAAGAGTTGGAAACCACAATTTCCAAGGTATAAAATAAAATAACATAATAAAATAATGTAAAAACCTAGACATTTTACGTAGCACACCAGATACATTGTCTTTGCCCATTGCTCCCTTCACTAGATAAAATAAACAATATTTGCCTAGTGATTCAAATCTTTAAGTGCATTCTTTGGACTCCCAGTTAAACATGATAAAGTGGACACACACCTTTATCTTTTTACCTGAAAGCACTCTAAAATGGCTAATATTTATTAGGTCAGCTATGGTTTTACATGCTTTACATGTCTTAAATCATTTACTCTAAAAAAAATCATTTAATCTTAAAAAGGACTCCAACTACTATTTTTTTAAGATGAGGAAACTAAGGCAGGAAGAGATTAAGTAACTTTCTTAAGGTCATACATGGGTCTAGGCATCCAGAACCTATGCAATATACTGCCTCTCACAATAAAAAGAATTTTAAAAATAAAAAACGTTTAAAACAAGAAAGTAAAAAAAAAAATGGGAGAGAACTGAAGAAAAATTTTGAAACTGGAAACCCAGCAGGATGACTGCTAACTAACTTAACAGACTAGCCTAAGAGGAAAACTGCATCCAAGAAAGCCAATGACAGGAGAAGCCCAGAAGCTGGATAATTTACATCACAGCCTCTCAGAAAGGTTCAGGGAAATGAATAGCTCTGACAATAATGGAGAGCAGTGGTGGCAGCTGAGGCTGAAAACAAGAGCGCTGGATGAAAGCAGTAAGATTTCCATGGATAACACAGCTAAAAGCCACCCTGGTCCATCTTGGCAGGAGAGCGCAGATTTACTCTCTGGAAACACTGAACTATGGAAAACTGAACTAATGGGCACCTGGCCCAGTTCGAAGGCGTCAGGTATTAAAAGAGGGTGATTAAGTGAAATTCCACATACTGAATGGCGAGACCTCTCTCCTCAGTCCAGTTTAAGAAAAAGCTGGATGGCAGAATTTAACCCCCAAGCAGGAAACTGGAACAACTCGGTCTGGGGAAATTTACCATTCTAAGAGGAAAACATAGATATTGAAATTCAGAGGAACTCTGATCAAGACAGCCCAATAAATCATCCTACTGCAAAGCCTCTAACTCCTTTGGCCAAGCACACCCACAGAGAGTTTCCAATCACCTATTACTATGTCACTTTTGAATATAAATCAGTAAGTGTAGGCTACCATCTGTCATCATACAAATTTATTATATTATTGACTATATTCCTTACACTGTACTTTTCATTCATGTGACTTACTTATTTTACCATTCTGTGACATATATAATTGTAGAATCGCTATGTTGTACACCTGAAACTAATACAATATTGTATGTCAACTATGCTTTGATAAAAAATAAATATTAAAAAAAATAATTTTAAACGTGAGTGGATAGCAAGGAGAGTCTTTGAGACCAAAACAAACAAAAGTTGTAAAACAGAACAGGAGAAAACAAAGATAATGCAAAACATGGAAGAAAACTTTATTATTTTTATTAATATCCTCAGAAAGAAAGGAGAGGTCATTGTATTCATTGAATAAGAACAGAATGTCATAAAAGGAAACATTCAAACAAACAAAAGAGATTCTCAGTAACTAAAAGTATGAGTAGAAATTTTAAAAAATGTTAGTCGCATGGTTGGAGGACCAAGTTAGAAACTCTTCCAGAAAACAAAAGAAATATAAGTAAATAATAGAAAAAGAAAAAACTTCTTTAAAACTAGAGAAATAATCCAGAAGATCCAATATCTGAATAATTGGCATTCCAGAAAAACAGAGAAGATGAAACAGAAATAATTGGTGGGGTGGGGACATACTATTCAAGAAAATATCTTATAAGTGAAAGATGAAATTATGCATTGAATGAACCCATCAAGTGTCCAACACAATATGAAAAACACACACAATATGGCATATCAGTATAAGATTTCAAATGTTGGCAACAAATGAAATATCCTAATAAGCTCATAATGAACTTAAGGTGAGAGCATGACAAAAGAAAGTTTGGGAATTATTACAGCATCCGACTTCCCAGCAACAAATTGGAAACTAAAACTCAATAGAGTGTTGTTTCCAAAATTCTGAGGGTAAAACTATTTCTAGCCTGGAATTCTAAACTATCAATAAATGTGACAGTAGAAAAAGATATTTTCAGACTTGCAGAATATCAAAATATTTTACTTCCATTTCTCTTTTTCTTTGGAAACTACTAAAAGGTGTGGTCCACCAAACATGGGAAGCAAACTGACAGAGAAGTAAAGAGATCTAGGAAGGAAGAAATATAATATAACCAAGAAAAGAAGGGACTTTTCAGGATGGTGTGGATCCCAGTACTAGGCTAGAAGAACAATCAATATCTGTTAGAATGAGAGGGCGCAGATTACTGAAAAAATGTGTTTCCCCACCAAGAAAAAAACAATGAAGGTGATAGAATACCTAATGCCTACAATGTTTTAAGGTATTAAAGATATAGACTCCTGACGGAGGGGCTGAGAAAGCACTGGTGATGGATATATAGAAGACTATGCAAACAAACAAAAAGAGAGACAACTATCAACCTTGAAGACAGCAATATCATGTAAGAAAGGAAATGTAATCATAATTGACACATGGTTCAGCTGCAAATGATATTTTCAGAATCATAAATATTTAAATATAATTATATTAGTAGAACACGGGAAGGTAAGTGTATATGTGTATGGTTAGTATAAGTGGGTACGGGAGAGAGATATAAGACAGCTAAATCCTTCTCTACAGTAAAGAGTCAAAAGTGAATATCTAAAAATAAAAAATGAAGAAACAGTAGTATAAACAGATTACACAGAAATATGGATGTAAATACCAAAAGAAAGCTAAAAGGATTGAAAGTGATAGACTCTACAAATCAGTAATCAAGAGTCATGAGGAGTGGGCAAGGGACTAACAGTTTTGTTAAGCGTGGAACTTATTTTTGGAACTTATTTTTTTAATTATGTATATTTATAATGTAATAAAAATAAAAGTGAAATTTTAAAAGTTTTTTCTTTACTATTCCTTTATTTCTGCAAAGGCAGAGAAGTCTATGCTTAGCGGTGTACTGCAAAGGAGATAGCAAAGGAGATTATTTCTTTTCACATTTAGTTATACAAATAGGCAGCTTAAAAAATAATCAATGAACTCCTGCTGGTGGACTCAAGACCTACACTCAAAAAGCCATTGCCAGAAGAGATTCAAAGGCAGCATGTTTCCAAAGCACTTCACTGGGAATCTAAACACTCAGATAAAAATAATAATAGAGACCATGAATTGAGTCTTGATTATGTAGTGGACATACACTTGAAACAACTCTATGAGATAGGTACTATTATCTCAATTACACAGATGAGGAAGTGAGATTGGGAGAGGAAAAGCACACTTACCTAAAGGCTTACAGAGGGTTTCCTGTCTCACATTTAGGTCTTTCATCCATTTTGAGTTTATTTTTGTGAATGGTGTAACAAAGTAGTCTAGTTT